GGTGGAAAACCGAAGATAAACACTAAAACGAAAGATGATGCTTTTGAGAATGACGATAGTTTACAAAAACACAGTTCAAAGGAAAGCCCAACTTTGCTCGACTCTTCGATGATGAAAGAATCTCGTATTGACCATCTTACTGAGAGGAAAGATAATGGTTCGGGYAATGAAGAGGTTTCTTGTAATGAGTGGACAGCGAGGAGAACAATTGGAACAWGGGGACCAAAGCCTCCATCACCGGAAGATTATGAAAAGCGTGGTGGAAAACCGAAGATAAAGAAGAAGAASAAACCTTTGACTGCGTCAAAGGATGGCAAGAAAAAGAATGAAAAAACAGAAAGAGAGGTCGAATCTCCAAGCAAAGGTAAATTTCATTGTCTGCATATCCATTTATCTACCCATTCATGCACTTCCAACGTTTATTATTCCCATGTCTTGGAATCCAATGCCATTTTTATTCTATTTTTAGAACCTATCAATCAAAACATCAATCCTCCGCCCTTTAAAGTGCCTGGGCAGTTAAAAGTTGAAATACGGCAGCCGTTGACTGGGAAAATAGAAATGGCATCTCGTATCCTCTATCGCACGGCGAGCCAAAAAATCAAAGGAGATCATCTAGTTCTTCCACCGTTAAAGTCGAAGAGTGTAGAAGACSTCAAGGAAAGATCATTAGAGGTTAGTAAAACCATCCATCCATGCACCATTCATCCATCCATCCACCAATCCATCCATCCATGCATCTATGCATCTATCCATCCATCCATCCATCCAATCCAACACACCCCCACATCAAATCCATCCAATCCTATCCATCCAATGCCATCCATCCATCCATCCATCCATCCATCCATCCATCCATCCAATCCTATCCATCCATCCATCCAATCCTATCCATCCATCCATCCATCCATCCATCCATCTATTTCTATCTGACCTATTACTATGCTTTTTTACAGTCTCTCTCAGCCTCTTTAATACGCCTTGGTCGAAGGTTCGCGGGAAGTGACAGTAGATACGAATACTCTCGATTAAACACCTCAGAAGATGACGATAGTGGGACAGCTCCAAAACACTTGASACTAAGATCTCACGACGAGACGCTTTTTGAAAARGATAAGAGCAAGACAAAGAAGGATGTCAATAAGATTCAAAGCGAATGCGATGCAGAGGTAGGCTTGTCTTTATTGAACCATGAAACAATCTTTGGGCTTATSAATGTCAGGGCAWGGCTAACTCACARATCAAACTCTGAKACAACTTCTGGGCTGATCTAAGTGAGGGCACGGCTAACGACGATTTCTTWATTTTTTCTAGGATATAAGRCTCGCTATTCAGGAGTTCAACAACGTGCGTCAAGTCTTGGGTCTCGATGGCCCTGTCAGCACATCCTTGGTCTACAAATTTCTGCTTGCAAGAGAATTCGATGTAGACGATGCTACACGTCTTTATAAGAGCTATTTGGTAGGTRTKRRSCYTKGKTWMCKKYCCCMAMCYWARGGGGMYKGRARGGGGGTGACTTGATRACTTGATGACTTAGATTGGAAAATATRGCAGACTAGTATGGATAAAAAATAAAAMMGTTGTATCCATATTCATGTCTCTTTCCATGAGCAACCATCAAAGAAATGATTCTCCTAGTAAAGAAAGAAATAATACTCAAGGGAAGGATATGAGAAAACATTGCACCATAGCTAAAAAGCATTCCTAGTAAAGAAAGTAATGATACTCAAGGGAATGACATGGTCTGAAATGGAAAAACATTGCACCATAGCTAAAAAGTATTCCTAGTTAAGAAAGTAATGATACTCAAGGGAATGACACCTCACTATCGTATATTTGTCTCTCCAGAGTCTTCGTAGAGTATATTACAATGCTGAGTTGAGTCCCTTAAATGATCCTCTGCAGCAGGAACTGTACAGCGGGACTTTCACTGTGCTGGTAAGAGCTTTATACTTTAAGTTATAYATATGACTTAGGAGGATTTYATTTATTTGCGCATATGGAGGAATGGGGGCCAGCAAAACTACATGAAAAGCTTTACAAACATAACCCAACCCCCTCCCCCCTCCATGGTTGAGGCAACAATTGCATAGCCCTCTTTCCTTCACCCTGCAATAGTTCTCGCTCCCTAAAGACCCAAAAAATAGACCTTGTAATTGTGCGGCGAAGACTGCAATAAATGTTAATATTTCTGAATATTTTGAAACTGAAATGAGTCTAGCTCTGACTATGAGTCTGCGCAATCTAGGTGGCTTACGGATTGTAGTCTAAACGTCTAATATCAACCTGCAATTTAATTTTATTGTTGATACAGGACGCCAGTGGAGGAGCTATCGCCCTTTTCACGGCACACCTCCACAAGCAAGACATAAGCCATGAAGTAGTATTGAACAACATCTATCTTCAGTTGGATGAAGCAATAAAGAGGTAACTACCTTTCCATCGCTTGGGCTGCCTGTGGTTCAGTCTAAGATAATTCTTTTTTTAAATAGTTGCTAAATAGCTACTATTTGTCRGTATCAACTTTGTTTTTATTTCATGGTTTTACTGCATGCGCTCTATAATCGAAATTTTAAACTGAAACTTCTCCCTTGCTAATGTCAAGGAGCTTTCTTCATTTCTGGTATTCATTTTGACAGCTGCTCGAGTTAAGAAGATAGGTTCTTGCAAGTCTTATATTGCAAAACCATTGTACACAATGCTCGTGCAAAGCCTTTATATTACTGGGCTTCCTGTGTTAACCAACAGTTTTTTTTTTTTTCAGCCTTGAGGTCCAAAGAAACGGGATAATACTCATATACGACTTTTCTAACATCAGTTACAAGACTTGTGATGTTCATTTATGCTCWAAGATCCTAGAGCTTTTTCAGGTGAGGGTCTATGTCTCTTTAGCTTGAGGCACGTATGTATTCAAATAGTGGATATTATGAATGCAAGCAAGTCCCATGCTTTGTCTCATCCCCATAGCCTCACTTGTACGATACTTGAACAAAAGATTATCGCATTGCAGGCTCAATTGTAATAACAGCTATTATTGTAATATTTGAAAAAATGGATGGAAAAATGGATAAGAGATGAAAAAAATGGGATAAATTTAGAAAAGTATTAATAGTCAGAGGTAACCATAGCAAACGCATGCTCAGTGCCCTGTARCTTTTACTGCTCATGTTTTATGATATAATTTTGCAAAGATCGCAAGTGTGCATCTAATACACATAAACTTGTAAGCTAGGAAAGTGCCGCCATTTACTTATGGAAGATTTCGTGACGGAAAAGTGCAAATATGCGCACGCATTTAATATGTATTTATTGTAGATTTGCAAGCTGCGCATAGTACTAATGAAACGGTTGCGTGACGGAAGTAGCTTATAACGTTGAATGTTGTTTTYATTCACAGTCAGCATATCCAGTGCGCGTAAAGAAAACATACATCGTCTCTCCACCTTTCTGGTTTGAGCCTGAAATGCGGCTGTTTTCCGCTTCGTTTCGTGACCCCAAGAAGCGTAAGARCATTAACATTGTCACGCAATCAAGACTTAAGAATCATCTCCCTGTCACTTGTATCCCAAGAGGCCTTGGAGGAGAGTGTCAGGCTAATCCAATGAGATTAATYGAGCTATGTGTTTCATCACATAAGGATCGTCTGGGCTTGACAGAAAGCAAAGCTGAACGTTCAACTGATGGYAATGGACGGGACACAGTGCCACGTGATCAAACTGGAATGAATGTTGACGGTGAAGGGCAAGACAGTCGTTGAAAATAATGCTGAAAGCCTTATTGCTCGTTTTTATTTGCATTTGATATTTTGCTTTTGATATTTTTATACAGTTATGTAAGAACAGTAAAACCAGTAAAACAATTTTTTATACTTAGAGTGTGTGAAGTTTATGAGCTGTTTGTTTATTTATTTAGGGAGCATTCATTTTTTTAGGACGGGGGGTGTGCTGGAGGAATCCAGGGGAGGGCGATTTAAATAGAGAATATTACATGGGCGCGCAGAGATACGAAATTTATCTTCGAGTGTCGATAAATTTCGTATCTCCAAGCACCCATGTAATATTCTGTTTATTATATAATTATCCATAAAATCAACTTAATAAGCTTTTTTATTATTATATCTAACTAACTAATAGCTTAAATACACAAGGTAACGATATTTTCACATGTGAAAATATCAGTTTTTCGAAAAGGAGAAATATAGGTATTTTATGGATAATTATATGGTAATATTGAATATTTCATACTACATAAAGGGAAGGGGGCAATAATTCAACAAATTTCAAGGGAGGGTGACCTTTTTATGCAGACAGAAGAAAGGGAAGGTCTAAAGATTTTACATTACTGTTTATAATGATTAATCCGACCCACCGCCCCTGTCGCCATTCACCAAAGGAGATCCAGTATATATATTGTATTGTATGTATTTTACTAAAATTTATTTTCAAAACATGACTGGTGATAAATATTACCTTTTATATTGTTGCTTTAAAGGAATATAAAACTATGCACGCATTTTCTGTACTGTTATAAACACTCTGGGAGCTGTAGAGCACGAGAGAAGCAAGCTTAGGGACACAAGGCATAGCTAGGTGTTTCTCTGAATGCTCTGCAGATTTCAGAGTGATTATATTACAATACAGAGATATAAACAGCCGTGTTTTATTGCTTTTATATATGTTTTATATGTATCATTTAGYGTGAGCTTGTCTCTATCTGATATAAACACGGTAGCCAGTCAATAAGCTTTTTATACATATACCTATCAGGGGAGCACTATCCAGGAATCTTCATGATATTTCCCATTTATTCGCTTCCTAATTTTTCATGGACTCTCTTCTCTTTTTATCACTTAAATTAGAACCACAGGTAACCCAATAGTTGTCTTGTGATTTCTCAGTTTAGTAGACAGAGCATAATAAAATGGGTTGATTATGATATTTTCTTAGCTATTCTTTTCCTGATGTCCACATACACTGTATCTTTCATGTTTTCTTTTATTACTTCAGCATCCAACCACAGGCAACCCAATCAGTTGTTCCTGTTTATAGATACAATGCATTGGGCTTCCTGTGGCCAGCTCTAAATTAAGATATTTCCCATCTATTTTGTCCTATCTTTTTTGTCTTGATTTACACATATTTTTTCTTTTTTCTTTCTATTACTTCAACGTAGAACCACAGGCAACCCAAACCACTACTCGTCCTCTCACAGTGAAAGCATGTTGGGCTTCCTTTGGCGAGCTTTCTTTATATATTTTCCCATCTTTTATAATGAACACATAAATCTCATTCATTCTTTCACTTTTTGTTAGAAGGTGACACAGGAAATTCAAACAATGTCTTTGTCACAGTGACAATGTGTTGGGCTTCCTGTGGCTAGCTATCAACTCTATGATATTTTGCCATCTATTTGTCTCCTAATATACACATAGTTCTCATTCATTCTTTCTCTCTTCTATCAGATTATAGTAAAGCCCCAKGAAGCCCAACGATTATTCTGTTGASTARTACAGTKTTTTGGGCTTCCWGTGGTGAGMTATCTTTTTCATGATATTTTCCCATCTATTCGTCTCCTRATATAAACATACCTCTCATGCATCTGTATAATATAATCATTCGTCAATTGATCCCCAATACACACACTATGCTTGAGTTTCTCCTCCGTGTACTCAATAGCCAAAGCCCCATGTGAACCATCCAACACAAACAGACTGTTTCCAACATTAAGAGGAAGGACGTAGTTCTCCTTTGTTATCAACCCCATATAGGCGTCTTCCCCTGCCTGGATTCTAGGAGTAGTCTTTGCTGAATCCACCAAACTCTTGAGAACATTTGTGGAGAAAATATAAAACGCTCCAAGACAATAGTTCGGTAAAACTATCTTTTCTTCGGCGTCCGCCTTGGTACCTCCTTCTTCAAGCTCTCGCTCGTAATCATCTTCAACAGGATGACGGTATACAACGTATCCAGCATAAACATGTTCTGGAAGCCTTTTTTCATTATTTAACCAAAATACCAACCTTGGTATATTCACGTAAACACCGTCTTCAACTTTAAAAATATATTTTGTGTTAATTTCCAAAGCCCATTCATATGCTTTCCAAAGTTTCTCAACTACATTTGTATACATGTCTTCAATCCYAGCACGAAAAATATCTCCCAATATTTCAGCTTCTTGGGCTACTCTCCTGTCATACTTTGTTCTRTTACTCAAACCCATCACAAAAATACAATTACAGAAGAGTTTGGGATAGCCTCGTCCTTTGTAGAGAGATTTTGAAGCTTTTCCATTTTTCTTTGARCCTTTCCATGTATTTGCCCAAGTTGTGCGAATAAGGTGTCGTCTCTCGAAGTTTTCRGGAACAGAATTCACCATAAATAAAACAAACATTTCTTTTTCCTCAAAAACAGGACGAATCTCCAAAGGATAATCTGTCTTCGAGTCGTTGAATTTCGTCTCATTCTGGATGAATTGAGAAAAGATTTCTTCGAATTTGTCTGGACCTTTGTCTTCAAGATCTTTTGCAGAAAGCAGTCTGTATGCCTTGACCTTCTTCGAGCCTCTCTTGAAAATTTTTTTGACGTCGAAGAAGTGTAGAAAAAGAACTTCACCAACAACGAGGAGAAAGACATAAAAAGCAATTCGCTTTTTGGAGAAGTTAAACATCGTTTATGTAGAATCTTGCTTTACGAAAAATGATTCAACTTTTTGCTAGGAACTTCACTTATCAAACTCTAGCTTGCAGAAATTTTTCTCATCRACTGCCGCTTTGAGAATTAGTTCCCCCACACGAGATTCAGCTTCAGTTTATAGCAGTTTATAGAAATTCTTTTTGACTTTCTTTAACTTTTACAATGCCAAAAAATTATAGCAGTGTTGAGCTGTAGAAAATACTTTGACAATATRACTATTTTCCTCGCGAAAGATGCTTTCAATCTTTGCTAAACTGCTTTGTACCTGAAGACTTTGGAAGCCATTTCAAAGTTAAGCGCACATGTTCTTTTTTACATCTTTCAAGCCAAGATAGTGAAGCAAATAATTTACCTTCTAAGGTCGCTGTGAGTTTCCTTCTTTAGTTCAAATTTGGACGTTTTTATCCCTCATGATTTGAATCCGATTACAGAATCGAATATGGCGGCTTGTGATACGTATAAATCAAGCAATCATTTGCATTTTGTATTTATTTATTCAATTTGAATGGACTTATATTTTCAGCGTGTTTAATATCCATGCATCGATGGTTCTTTTGKTCTGCGTGCAGTGGTGTGGAAAACGAAATTTTACAACGCTAAAAAAATATAATTCAAACAAAGTTTTTGGACTTTGAAGYGATTGAAGTTTGCAAACCTATATCAACATGTTATATTAGTGAAAAAAGGACAAACATTTTAGGCGCGAAAGTTATTCGTATTAAAACAGTCCAACTCATTCAAAGCGCGCGCGAACATGAACCACAGGAAGCCCAAAAACTTTAGTACGGTACCCTCAGTGGCTTTGTGTGCGTGTGCTTTTTATTCGTCTGCGCCTCCATCATGACATCATAGTCAGACTTAACCTGTTATAACTTGAAAACGCAACACTCGACTGAAGAAATATTTCACCATTCAACTTTATAAAATAATTGTTATGAATCTCGCATTCTGATTGGTTAGGAGCRCGTGATTTATGAGAGCACACACGCGCCCTTTGCATTTTATAAAAGAAATTAAAAAACTTGCTTGCTGTGGAGTTATAAAGCACTTGGRGATTGGCAAAACACTCGTGAAGTGTCGAGAAGCTCTCCACTACGCGTCCTGCTTCTCCTAACACTTCTCTCGTGTTCTGCCAACCCCCGCGTGCTATATAACTGCACACAGCACGCGCGCGCGTTTTTTATTTCTTTAATTCTTTTCATATAGAATCAACAAAGTATTGTCTCATGATTTAGGTGCACTTAATATCGAAGTACAAAAGTTAGATCGTTTGAAGATTTTTAAAAAAATGCGAAAATATCAAACCCAATGTATATATCAATCATCATAAAACCAGTTTTAATACTGACTTACTCGTATTTTACATATTACTAGCTTTGAAGTAAAGTATTG